TCTATAGTGGGCAAAGAGTCCTTCTTCCAAAATTGGGCTACCAATAATCTTGCAGCTGTTATAAGATTCAACATCAAATTCATTTCTTTAACATCCAAATCTTCCATAATGCCTAACAAAAATAACTGCGGTGTAAACTTTATCTTTTTCTTAAAAATATTTTGAATATTCCACCAAATCTTAATCCAAAATGCTTTTACATCCCTACACGTCCACCAGATATGAAAATAAGTTGCATCTAAACTTCCACATCTCCAGCATTTGGGCTGTAAACTAGGATACATACAGGACAGTTTTTGAGGATCCAAATGCCACCTATAAAACATCTTATAAAAATTTTCTCTTAAATTTTGAGCTTGAGTAAATTTTACATTTCTAACCCAAATTATCTCCCATATTTCCAATAAAATTGATTCTTGAATATTTTGAGCCCATTTTACCATACAATCTTTAACTAAGTTCACATTAAGTCTTATTTAGAGTACCTGGGAGGGGCAACTGATACTTATTTGCTTTCACAGATTTTCCCAAGGCCAACAGCTTGTGACAAAATTAGTGACTGCGCCTGTAGCCTGTGGAGCAGTAATGGTACCGAGTACCATGTTTATGGGCCAGGTGGTGACTGCTTATCCGACTTTTGCCGCACAACAGCAACAGCAGCAGCAACCACAGACATTGTCAATGCCACAGCAACAGCAGCAGCAGCAACAAGAACAGCAGCCACAAAGCCAACAGGAGCAGCCCCAGCAGCAACTTGCTACAGTTCAACCTCCAGCTCAGGCTCAATTGACTCAGCATCCACAACAGTTCTTACAGGTGAAACCAGAAGGAAACCAGCTCTTTGAACAGCCAGTTCCATTAAACTAGAGCCTTAGTAAGATGTGATGTGTGGACTTCAGCTCCCAGAATTCCCCAGCCACCTGTTGAAGTCCATAGATCAGTGATGGCGAACCTTTTAGAGACCGAGTGCCCAAACTGCAACCCAAAACCCACTTATGCATCGTCGGGTGCCGGGTGGGTGTGGCTCATTGGGTGGGCGTGTCCCATTGGGTGGGTGTGTCCCATTGCCTGGGTGTGGCCAATTGGGGGGGTGTGGCCCATCGGGTAGGCGTGGCTGCGGTGGTAACAGCAGACTGGGTGGGACTAAAAAGTTAAATCAATCAATTCCAACTTTGCAAGATCTTTTTTTTTCCCCGCGAGAAGTTGAAATTGACTGATTGATTGAACCTTTTTGGTTTTTTGCACACGGCGGCGGAGGCCTAAAGCGAAAAGGTTTTATAAAACCCAGCTGAAGGCCTAGGACTGGGGCGACGGCGCGCATGCCCACAGAGAGGGCTCTGAGTGCCGCCTCTGGCACCTGTGCCATAGGTTCGCCACCACTGCTATAGATCCTAGAGATGCCAAGATTGAAAAACACCAAATAGAGACATCCTCAAAAAACTTTGTAGAACCATCTCTTGCAGACAAATAATGCTTTTGGTGCTTGTTTGTATGTGTTTGGGTGTACAGTACATATCCTCCAAAGTGTATAATGCAGGGCATAGGTTGGTGAATTGCCAAAAATAGCAAGTTCTGTTCTTGAAAGGGTGAATTTTTAAATGGTTTAAGTTCATATGTTCAGGCGAGGTTTATATATTGCATTTGTTCACTAAAAGCAAATGCCTGCAGTGAGCACCTCTCAGGCATTCTTCTGAACTACAGCTAAAACTGTTGCTTTTTTTAAAAAATCTTTTAAAAATCTTCATTTTTGCCAATATGAAATTACTATGTACTATATACGCTGCCCTTCGCTAGTAAGAGGCACGAGTTAATGTTTATTTATTTATGGTCCAATGATCACATAAAGAGGTAAGAAAAATCCAGAATTGGAGCATGCACCTTCTTGTTAATAGCAGTAGGAAGAAAGAAAAAAAACATAAAGTTTCAGGAAAACATACAACCTTGATTTTAAAGTTAAAAGGTGTTTTAAAAAGGGCTTGTGACGTGGCACATAACTCATCCAGTTAGTGCTCAGAATTGTATCTTTTTTTTGCTGAGTGTTCGATACAACGTGTGTGTGTGTGTGTGTGTGTGTGTGTGTGTTGAATACAGGCAATACTCCCTCCTATTTCCCCCACAATAACCCTGTGAGGTGGGTTGGACTGAAAAAATGGGACTAGCCCAAAATCACCCAGCTGGCTTTCATGCTTAAAGCAGGACTAGAACCCTGGTGCCTGGTGCCTTAACCACTAGGCCAGGGGTAGGCAACCTTGGCTCTTTTATGACTTATGGATTTCAACTCCCAGAATTCCTGGGCCAGCATGGCTCAGCTTGGAAACCTCTCCCTTTCCCGTCAGCATGGCTGCCTCAGGAATTCTGGGAGTTGAAGTCTACGAGTCATAAAAGAACCAAGGTTGCCTACCCCTGCTCTAGACCAAACTGGTTCCCATTATATATAGAGATTCTAGGACAGTGATGGTGAACCTATGGCACGCATGCCAGAGGCGGCACTCGGAGCCCTCTCTGTGGGCACACGTGCTGTCGCCCCAGCCCCATCTCCCCCCACGGCCCCCTCCTCACCAGCAGCCCCCCCCCCGGAGAAGAGTCACCCCTGGGCAGCCAAGAACATGGCAGTCGGGCAGCAGGGACAAGACTCCGCCCTCGCGCCCTGTCGCGCGCAGATGATGTTGCGGGGTGCGGGCGGAGGGCATGGCTGCTATGGCGCTGCAGGGCCGCCTGGGCGATCAGCGGCGGGTCATGGAGGCGGTGGGTGGCCCTGTGGGTGGGCAGGGCAGGGGGCAGGCAGGGGCAGAGCAGGCAGGGCAGGAGGCGGAGCGGGGGCGGGTTTGGGGGGCGGGTTTGGGGCACTCGGTCTCTAAAAGGTTCGCCATCACTGCACTAGGATATACACTAGGATATTCTAGGATATACACTAATTGAACCCCTAGGAAAAAGGGATGCATCCGCACACATCCCTTTTTCCCCTCTTTATAATAAATATGTTGAAGTTATCATACGGGATCATAACGTGATGTTGTTAGGTAACGTGCTTAGCTTACGACAGCGGGGACGCTTGACCCCCCCCCTCTCGTTTGTATATTTGCAGACCTCCAGATTACTTCATGGAAATCAGTCGACGCAACTTATCCTCTCTGCTGCTTTCCCGCTACAACAAAGCACTTTTGCCCAGCCCCATCACCAGCAGCATCCGTCTCAGTCACAGCCACCGCAAATGCCACGACACAGAGCTGACAGCATGACGGAGGCGTCTAAAGTGCCACCCCAATAGTGTGGGGCTTTGCTACCGGGAGCGAGGTTTGTAATTGCACTGGAGACGGTGAGATCGGAGTCGACAAGATTTTTGCAATGCACAGTATTGAAATTCTTGTAACCGTTGGAATGTATCTGCTGAAGAAAAATGTACGAAGCGCTGCTGGAGTTTCAGTAGGTGTAAAGCTGGCAAAGCTGATGGGACAGGGACACGCTGACTTTTGCCAGGAATTTAATTGCTCTGGTTTCTATGTTTGGCTTTTCTTCAAAGGCCCTGAGTTAATTTGTCCAGATCAAAGTCAAAATGTTCAGTGGACTGAACAAGATACTTACAATTAAGTTTGCTCAGATTTAAGTGTTACGATGGACACGCTGTTGCTACAGCTATTTTAAGTATGCCTGCAATTATGCTCCAAAGCAAAGTTATTTTATTTTTTTTCTTCATATTACAGGACAGTAAATATTTTCAAAATATTGAATGGAATCTATCTTCATTGTACAGATACTGTAAAATACTGTGTATATGTCTGGTAAAAAAAAGCAAGAGAGCAGGATATTTTATATGATGCATGGAACTTGGTTTGAATGTTTTTCCCCAAAATTTCACCAATCTTCAAACTACTTGTTTTCATCGGTTTATACCTGTTTGTCTTCTCCGTTGTGGAATCTGTAACCTGCACGATCACTTCTTCTCATCTGTAATGTGGGCACAATCTCCTGTTTGTAGTTTATGTGTAACGTCCAGTTTGTTCCATGAGGTGATAGTGTGTTCTTGGTTTGTGGAATTTTTGCAAGTTAAATTATTGATGGAACTCTTTGAACTGTGGGGGTTCAAGGCATTCAATTTCATGAATTCCATTTGTCATGTATCATTTCATGAATATTTTTTTCTTTGAAAAAAAAAAAAATAGGAATTTGCACTGCTCTGTTTTTGATGGTTTGGAATTTTGATTCCCCAAAGCTGACTTTTGATATAAAACATAGTTGCAAATATTTATGTAAAACATACGGTTTTAAAATATGAGCATAATTTTCACAAATGACTCAACTATAGGGAGTAATTTGCACAAAATATATTTAAATTTAATAATTGTAGGCACTTTTTAACTTCTCTGCAGTGGGAAATGTGTTTTCGGAATTGGTTGGAATCTTTTTATTCTCCTGTAAAAATGTTAACCTTCATTTAATCAGAGATGATTCAGGGTCATTTGAAGCAGAACAAATAATAAAACCTCCACAGTGCCTTGATTTTGATTCAGGTAATAGTGCTAAACATACTGAATTACATTATCTTGAATTTATGACCATCGATTTTAGTTCACTGACAAAAACATGCTTCCTAGCTCAGTCTCTATTGTGCATATAGGTATTTTAAAAACTGTACAAATTGAGAATCGCAATGTTTTTAAAATGCTGCGCTCTCCTTCTCAACCATTCAGTAAGGGGCAGCTGCGGTGTAATTACTCTCATTTCACAATTTGAAATGTTGCATCTCATGTTTTCTAAATTTATGCCAAAACATGTTTTGTGAGTAACAGTACAACTGACTTGTAAAGCAGTTTAAATTGAGTTATCCGGAATGAGACAGACTACATAAATAAGATATAAAGAGATAACATTGTATTGGGACTTCAGATGACAAATTCACTTCATAAAAGATAATAAAAAGATCCAACTGAAATTCTGTACCGATTTAAAAAAAAAAAGTTTTAATATATTTTATGGTACTAGTTTTAAAATCCACGTCTGCAGAGCAAAATAAGTTTGAAAAGACTTATCAATTGGGTATCTAAAAGGGAGAAAAAAAATATTGGAATGTCTGAGTCAAGAAAGATTGGGTGATAAAGAGGAGCTTTATTAATGTAACCAAAGTTATAGTGAGAGGCGCAAAGAATGTAGTACTGGCTGGACAAAGCAACATCTTGGTAGATGTTATCCTAAGGTTAATTTGGATGCTATTCGGGTATCACGCAAACCATCAGCTTATCTTAGCTGTAAATGTGCCCATGTAATCTACTGGCCACTTTCTAAGTGGTAGATAAACGGAGCGTAACATTTAAATGTAAGATTCTGCTTTCATCTGTCTTGAGGAAATCAGAGAATGAAGCCATAATTTTGTTTAAATGCCATTCACGGCTTTATTTCTTGGTTTTTCTGGGCAACATGCTAGGCTGGGCTGACTGCACCAGTGGATATGCTTGAACATGTCTGCTACTAAGCCAGGCAGATGGTTTAATGCGATACGCGAATGGCTCCTTCAAGTTCTTTTCATTGTTTTAGCCTTCCATGGTTCCAATTCCCTCCCCCCCACATGCATTACTCAACAGTTTAATAGCTCGTACCATAATCAAATTTTTAAGATTTATTTTTTAAAGAATCAAAGAACCAAAGAATTGGATTAACCCTGTTCTCTCTTGGCAAATACTGGAAAACCAGTAGGTCGTTTACTTAGGAAACTATGTAGCACTATTACCTACATACGTGGAAACAGTTCTATGAATTTAATTGCAAATAACTCTAGTCTGCTGTAACTTGTTTGTTACAATGCCAGGCCTGGCTGTGTTGAACGAACATCTTTGCATGTAGTAAATGATTGTCCAGTTGGGCTTGAAGCTATTTAGAATATTACAGCATTAAATAAGAAAATGTGGAGGGCTTTGGAATTGCTTTATAGATCAGGGTTTTAGTCTAAGGATGCAGAGCGGCAGTCCTGGGCTGTTTATTTGATATAGATTTTCTTGGCAATCTTTATTGAGAAAGAACACAACTATCAGTAGATGTGACACGTATTTCGGGAGGTTATACAAAAGGTAAGCTGACGAAAGAAAAGTCGTTAAGAAAGTTTAAAAAAAAAAAACAATTGCTAAAGATTTTTTTTGTCTACAGCACTCCAGGCATACCTCAACGAAACAAACATATTTTCTAGAAGGTATGTTGGCATTTATGTTCTGTTTTCTAGCTGACAGATTTTTGTCTGAAGATCTTTTGCTTCTGTGGAGCGTCAGTGTGCCCTAAATAGCGAGCAAATTCAGCTTTTGCTCTTAATGATAGTTCTGATGTTTCTCAAGGCTAATTTTTAATCTCGGAAAATCATTTGCAAGCGCTGAGTATTCCGCCCTCTGTAATTTAGCATGGCCAAATGTCTCTGCTGGGGGAGGCAGGGTGGGTGTGGAGGGGGGCCGCGGAGAGTTGGGGGTTCGTATTGTGGGTATTGCACTTAACCTAGAGCAGGAGCGGGCAACCTGGATAGAGTCAGGGATCACAGTGCAGCTTCCTTGGAGAAACGTGGGGGCCTTTGGAGAGGGGAGTGTTTGAGTGGGACATGGGAACAGGAGACCCCTGGGAGGCAGGCCCACCCCGATTCCCACGCTCAAACTCTTTTGAGACCGTGCCAAAAAGACGTTCAATTTTGCGGCCAGTTTCCGGCAGTGCAATTTTGGCCCATTTTTCCAGGATGGTTGGGGAGAGTTTTGCTTCCATTCCCGTTCTCATTTTTTTTAAAAAAGAAAGGAAAACTTGTTTTGGCAAAACCCAGACACTTTTGCCATTGAATTTCAGAATTGCAGGGTCCTGGAAGGTTTCAGATGAGATCCTGGGAGTGGCAAGAGGCCAAGCACTGTGCTGAAGCAACAGTTGAGCCAGCGGCAGGAAACCTGACAAAAGTGCTGCTGAAAAAAGGAGAAGAGTAGTTAAGGTTTGCTTATGTTTGTGGGGGTGGGAGGGGGAAGGAAGACTCCAAGGTGAGCTTCTGGGAATCCTAGAGGGAATCGTATAAATATTTTTGATATTATATTTAATATATATATATATATATACATATACATATATACTATATTTCTACACATATTCAGAGAATATAGTCAAGAGCGCTCCATATGCCTTCCATTATTTTTATGTAGAAGTTTACTTGCTAGTGCAATGAATTATTCCAGTCTGTCACAATCTGTAGGCTTCCTGCCTGCTGCCAGCTGATCGGGATAAAAATGACTGAACATCCACACTAGTCCAAAGCTGTCAGTTAAAACTGTGTTAGTTGCTTAAGGATCTGTTGAAAACATAATCCCGTTAACCACTGTGGCCAGAGTCACTGGGATTACGAAGAGATGGGGGTAGCCACACCTAGGGTGGGGATATGAAATAATAAAAAACATTTTTAAGTGGAAAGAGTCTTGCCAAGAGACCTGCACCTAAAATATATATACCATAGGACGATGCACCTGGGTAGATTGGCAAGTCAAAATTTGCTTTTTCCTCTTGTTTCTGCAAGTGGTGATCACTCTCCTGTAATACTTGAGTATGATATTGAATTAGGTAGCCTAAAATGTGCGCAAACATAAGCACTTTATTGGGGGGGGGGGGTGTCACATTTTGAAATACAATTTATTTAGGCAATGGGACTGTTCACAGAAGAAAAGGGTGGGGTCGGAATGTAGACTATTGTCAAAAAGAGGCATTGCTGGAAAATGTTTCTTGACATTTACGGTAGGTTTAAGTCTAAATACGCGACATGTAGTATTGGTTGGCTTTATATGGATACAGATAAAATACCTAAGCTTTTTTTCAGAACTGATTTTTTTTTAAAAAAAATAATAATAAATGTTGCACAATTGCCAGAGAATTATCCACAGGAGGCTTTCGTGTAATTCTAAGTGGTCCTTAGGATTAAAAGTGTAGAGGGTTTACAGATGTGGCCTTTAGTAGACTGCTTCAGTCACAAATAATAGTTTGTATTTTTAAGTGAACACCCATTTTTGTTGTGTACGTATGTAGGTATGTGTGTGGTTTTGTTTTGTTTTTTTTTAAAAAATATATGTTACTGTGTCATGTGATGTCAGCATGCACGTCAAAGTCATAAATCGATTGTCGGCAATGTGTAGTTGAGATATGTATGTGATAAGACACGGAGGCCTAGAGCAGTGGTTCTCAACCTTTTTAATGCCGCGACCCCAACCGGTCGTAAGTCGAGGACTTTCCCTGCCCGGGAGCGCCGTGCATGCGTGGTTCTGCCCCCTGCACCGGCCGAAGCGTAGCTGGCAAGCGGCAGAGATGGAGCAGGCCGACCACCAGCTGGCCCAGCCCAAGGGAGGTAAGGCACCCGCCGGAAAAGGGGGAAAAAAATGGCGGACAAAAAAAATGGCGGACAGCCTTGCTTGGCGACCCCCATGAAATGGTCGATCGACCCCAAATGGGGTCCCGACCCACAGGTTGAGAACCACTGGCCTAGAGGGAGCCGATGTGATGTGGAAGAGAGGATGTGGTTTCTTCTTCCCTATCCAAGTTAAAAAAAAAAATTGGAGATGTTTTCAAACGTATACACTTGTTCGAAGTTGAATGTTGAACAGTCAGTGAGTGAGACGAGCTTTGAGAGACATTTTTTTTTAAAAAAAAACATAATTTGGTTGTTTATGAAACCGAGTAGTTTATTGATACGTATTTTTAACACTACATTCCTCTGTCTTTAATAAACAAATACTTTACAGTCTATGTTGCTAACGCTTTATGCTTTCTCATCTGCATGGGTATTGCCAGCAGCAGCATGATAGGTCGTATTGCTTAAAAGATATTGTACCTGCCAGTAACACACAAAACAAAAGCGAAATGAAACACTGTGTATGAACAAAATACTGTGTTGCCTGATATACAGATCCCAGCTCTAACTGAGGTGCTGCACTAGTAGACAATCAAAATCAGTGGAAGACTTTGGGGTGGGGTGGGGTGGGGGGGGATGTTCTTAAAAGATACAGCTGCTTTGAAAGTGTTTTTTATTCTTAAAAAGTATTTATTTTTTAAATTGTCTAATTGGATACTTTTCAGTGTTGATTTCACCATTGTCTTGGTTTTTGCATTTTTAAAATTTGGCATTAGATTTGTATATGTAGGAAACCTGTGTGATTTTTCATGATCTGACATCAGGAACTGTAGATATGAATCCTTAGTGTTCATGTGATCATTACTAAGTGTCCGTTTTTAACTGAATAAACATAACATTTGAAATTTTCTGCTTGTAGCGTCAAGGTTTTGATAACGTTTCCGGCTTGAATACTTCTTGCTGACTCGGTATCCATACTGTTACTTTTCTTCAACAACAATAACAGCAACGAGAAAGAATCGAGCGGGGTGGAGAGAAGTGAAGAAATTGCAAATACAAGCGGCACCCGGGATTTGGCTGGTGCTAGTTGTGGCTCTTTTTGCGTTACATCTTGCTAATGATCTAGGTCAGGGGTAGGCAAGCTTGGCTCTTTTATGACTCGTGGACTTCAACTCCCAGAATTCCTGAGCCAGCTATAGCTGGCTCAGGAATTCTGGGAGTTGAAGTCCACGAGTCATAAAAGAGCCAAGGTTGCCTACCCCTGATCTAGGACAACGTTGTTGTTTTTTTAACAAATTGTATTGGTTTTTTAACTTTTACAACAGAATGCTCAAGACACACCGTGGTGGTTAGGTGATCAATCATCCAAAAACAAAATCATATTAATAGCTCAAGTAAATACATTAAATGTTCCCTCTCTATTTCCCTCAAATAATATAACCTATTTAACATAATCCATTTCTACATTACATATCTATAAATCCTAATCCTGTTTTGAGCTTTATTAGTTTACAATTACCATAGTCCAATTTAATCTTAGATAAATGTGTTATCACTTCGGGTATCCCTTTCTAAAATACTAATCCAGATATATTCTAATTCATAATCTCATAAATCATTGATTTTATCACAGACCTCTCTTATTACTTCAAATAGCATTTAAATCTCATTCAAATAATTATCATATCTAAAAAAAACAAACACCCCTATTATTACACAAAACATCGTCTTGCTAACTTAACACACTCAATTACAAATTTTCAACTCTAAGTCTTAATCCTTAAATCAATCCATATTTCTCAAAACCTTTTTTAATCCATTATACATATCATTTTAAATGTCTTTTTTTCAGTCTTATTCTTATTTTAGTCTTTTTCAACCTGGGCAACTTTAAGATGTATGGACTTCAACTCCCAAAATTCTCCAGCCAACTTTTAAGTCCATATGTCTTAAAGGTTGCCCAGGTTGAGAAACAATGATCTAGGAAATTAGAGCTGTCTCTAGCTTTAGATACCTGTCTCTCACAAACACTGAACAGGAGGAGCCCCTTACATTTGTAGACAGGTGGAAAAGGAACAACATTCACTATTCTTTTACAATGCTCAATCACGCTTCTGACAAAATTTTAAATCCACAATGAGTGGCAGGAAGAAAAATAATTAGGCTAACTGCCAATTAGTTTTTAGTTTCAAGGATGACGGGGAAAACTAGAAAAGCTGAGAAGGATTGCCACATTACTCTCTTGAAGGTGCCCGGATCAGAACTGACCTAGATTTTGAATCCTTCAAGAGTCTCTACACTAGGCACCACGCGGTTAACCACCAGCAAAAAAAGCACCAGGTAGTACTAAAGGACCCTCAGCTAGTACTTTTCCTCCCATTTGATTTCAGTGAGTGTAGGCTTCACTGTCCCAAGGCAGTGGGAGCGCTTGGTTTCATTCCATGCAGGTCATCTGACTATAATCTCAATGGAGTGGGACTCAGGTTTTACACCCTTTGCAACTCCGCTAGATGCTGTCAGCTTAAGGGGGAAAAGAATGAAGAGCCTGCGGAAGGGATGATCTAAAAATAATGACACACAGATGCAGAAGCAAATATGCTGCACGAGGCATGTTTCCACAGTAGGAAAGGCCAGTAGACAGAAGAATGCTTTTAAAGCAGGGCGTTTCAACCTCTTCACCCATTGTACCACTTTTAGGATATGGCAACATCCGAGTACCACCCGTCGCCTAGCAAGGTGTCAAAAACTTGAGGACCAAAACAAAAAAAGAAAAAGAAAAAAAGTGATAAAAGTACAGGTAGTCCTCGACTTACAACAGTTCGCTTAGTGACTGTTCGAACTTACAGTGGCACTGAAAAAAGTGCCCCCCAAGCCACAGCCGAGCAAGACACCTGCCTGCCCGCCCGCCCGCGCTCTTCCTCCTGTCCGAGGTTTCCATTGTTGTGAGCGTTTCTGTTGAGGATTGGCAGCGGGGGTGGGGTGGGGGGGTGTTTGGTTTTTATTCCCCCCCGTCTGCTGGGTGGTTGCAGCAAGTTTTGGTCACTTCACATGACCCTGGGACACTGTGACCGTCATAAATATGAATCAGTTGCCAAGCATCTGAATGCAAATCACAAGACCCTGGAGATAAGGCAACATTCCAGCTGATCGGCGCTTCTTCTGGGCTCAGCAGAAGCGCCAGGATCAGCGCTGAGCTCCAGCTGGAGCCTGGCGCTGATCCTGATGCTTCCATTGAGCCCTGACAGTTCCGAAGAAGCGCTGATCCTGGCACTTCCGCTGAGCCCTGACAGCCCTGCAGCTCCAGCCATCTCTCGCTCAGGCTTGTGCAGTGCTACCACTGGTTCAGCTCGTTCCCCTCCCCTGCTACTTTTCTGGGATGGTCGCGCACCACCTGCTAGGTGCCAATGTACCACAGGTGGTACCTGTACTACTGGTTGAAAAGCCCTGTTTTAAAGTCTCAGCATAATGACAATAAAAAAGATTAAACTCCTGAAAAAACAGTGGGTTTTTTTCTCTCTTTCAGGAATAGCACCTATACTGGAAAACAGTGAAAACCCAGCTTATTACTACTACATGAAGGTAAACCCCTCTTCAGAATCATCCACAAATTATACCTGTTCACATTAAGCTTAACTACAAGAGTCTCATACTTGGGAAAGATAAAAAAAAATAAAAGCAGTAAAAAAGAACGTCTTTACAAAAGCGTTTATTTTAAAGCAATCTTTCCAGCGTGATACCCATCTTTTACAAACTGGATTCTTTCTTTTTTTTCCCCCCCTTTTGGTTACAAAATGGACAACTATATAGCTCAGTGACAGCAATTGGCAAATCCAAAATCCTGCTGAGAGACCCAAAAATATGAATAGCATTCACTGAATTCGCTATTTTCAAGAATCTAATTTCATTCCAAGAAATGGGAAGAGATATTGGTTCAGACCAGCAAATAGCTTGATGTAAATTCTCTCCTAGACCAGGCGCATAATATAAACAGGGGAAATGCTTTGGACCCCAGGTTCCTTTGGATGGCTTCTGAATTTCTAGATCATAGTAAAAAAAAAAACCAACATCATAGGGCAAAAAGGAGAGGTAGTTTGGACCTCTCCCACTTGATCAAACTTATCTCAGCCTTCATATTGCAGTATTAGTTTGACTAGGAATAAAGCTTTAATTTGGAAAGGGGTTGCTTCATATTGCTGCAATGCCATACTTTATGTAAAACACATTTAGCAGGATAACATCTGAGATACTATGGCTAGATCCACTATTTACATTAAGCCAACAAATTGTTAAATATTACATCTAACTGGGTTTGCATAACACCAAGTTAAAAGACCAGGGCTTATGTACCAAATGGCTGAGTCCACGCAGGGTTCTAAAGCAAAATCATGGCACAGCTTAGAACAATGCATGTGAACTGAATCAATGTCAAATTATTGCTTTCAATAACTGACAAGCAGCATGATTCAAAATTAAAAACACCAGCAATCATGAAATATTTGTCCATCAAAGGTACTGGAGTAAAAAGAAATGGGTACAACCACTAAAAATATAAAATATTGGACAATACACATTATTTTCCTCTGAATGAAACCAGAACTCATTTTAATTACAATTCTATCATAGGAGACGCCTAGTTGTTATCCACGTTCTCCCATATTATTATATTTACTAAAAAAAAACAATGATCGTTTTTAAGAATATTTTAATCTGAAAATGCATCAAATGTTCAGTAAAATACAAAAATTGATCTGTAAATATCTAGATGGATTGTGTATTTTGAGACCGTTTCTGAATTAGCACGTTCTCTATCAAAGTATCCTGATTTTTCCACAAGTCCACACGTCCATTGTCTTGAGGAGATGACTTAATTGTTGGCATAGCTCTTCCTTTCTGACTGTGGAACCACGTACTTGAGAAATAAAATCAAAGGGGGCTGTCAAGCAGTGGGGTTTTTTTGGGACATCTGCCAGCAAAATAACTAAAATAAAATTTCAGGAGCTGAACTTCGGTTTATCTGAGCCGGTATAGTAAGCCAAATGTACATTATTCATATCCCAAATATATAGATCATGTTATTGTCCAGCAGAGCTCTGTATCTACAAAACATACCAAACTAATCGTTACTATAAAAATTACAGCATCCCACCTTCAGTGCTTGTTTGAATAAGTAGCTGTACATTATATACAGGGAGCCAAATGGCAGTCACTGGCTCTAATTCTTGTATTTCAAGGAAAAGGGGGAAAAAAATATTCCTGCTAAAATCCAACATCTGGGCTTATAAATAATGCAGAGAATGCAAATGCTAAGAAAACAATGCCTCCTATGATTGTCACTGTAAAAAAAAAAAGAAAAGGGGGGGGGGAATGATCATGTGGTTAGAACTTATATAAAAGACAAAATTTCACATTGCTTATTTTGTATTTATAAATTTACTTTCGTGCTCCTACTTCTCCCCGGCATCTAATCAATGAAGATACTCATCCTATGTATTTACAACATGGTCAGAGTCAAGAAGTTACAAATAGCAAGCTTAGTTAGTGTTTATATACTGTAAGAAATAATCCACATCAACTGACTTTTGTGCAATTCAGCAACATTTGAACCACAAAAGACCTCATCCCTTTGGATGATTCTCGTAAGGAAACATGTACTTTTTCCCTTTATGTTTTTTTATGTTTTAATTGTTTTTATGGTTTTGAAGTTTTGTCTTTTGTTATGATTCTGGTTATTTTTGCGTTTGTGTGTGTGTGTGTGTGTGTTTTAATCCTGTAAGCCACCCACAGTCATGTATCTGAGATGGCTGGTTGTATAATTTCAACCAATTAATAAATGGGGAAAAAAAAGACATTTTTGCCTGCTCTATACTCCTGCCAGGAAAGATTAAATAATAAATTATTCTCAGCAAATGGTTAAAATGAGAGAAATTTGAAAACTGATTTTGAACCAACTGGAAAATTAGACAGTACAGTAGTGGCCAAAATTGTGGAAACCTTTTGGGAAAAGTGTACAGTAGAAATGCCACCTTTGGTTAAGTTTCCACCCATTTTTCTTCTAATTTCTTTATAACTGTAGCCTCGTTCACTTAATAATACTATTTTGCATCACTTTCTGGGCAACCAGTCAACTGTTTGCACCATTACTTTAATTTTATTACGCTTTACAAGCTCGCTAAATGAAAGAACACAAAAAAACCCAACCAACTTGACAGCAATCACATAACACAATGACAAATGTCCTCTCAGCTTTCAATACATGACATCAGTAACTGAATCCTACTGTGATCTGATTGGCTCATTGCCAAAACAGGATGACACCTGATTGGCTCTCTAAACACTTGTGCTCTTTGGCTACAATCAGATGAAGGAAAGCTACCTGAGATCAACCTAAGCAAGTTGTGCTTCCTTTTTCTGGTTATTTGGCTATAACTTTTCACAGAATACAGTACAGATAATTGAACAAACTTTGTTGCAATACATTCTTGATTAAATTATCTTTCCATTGATATATAATTTTATGGTACTACTCCCCCCAAAAAGTGGTGTTATTAGTCATCAAACCTCAAAAGTACACTTTTCCCAAAAGGTTTCCACAATTTTGGCCGCTACTGTATAGGAAGTTTCATTGCTGATTATGGGTTAGTATTTGCTCAGGCCTGTTCACGCTGACTGGCAGTGGATTAAAGACAATTCTCCTCTCCGTCTAAGCCAGTGGTTCTCAACCTTTTTAATGCCGCGACCCCAACTGGTCGTAAGTCGAGGACTAAACCGGTCGTAAGTCGAGGACTAAACCGGTCGTAAGTCGAGGACTAAACCGGTCGTAAGTCGAGGACTACCCAACCGGTCGTAAGTCGAGGACTACCCAACTGGTCGTAAGTTGAGGACTTTCCCTGCCCAGGAGCGCCGCACATGCGTGGTTCCGCCCCCTGCGCCGGCCGAGTTGTAGCTGGCAAGCGGCAGAGATGGAGCAGGCTGACCACCAGCTGGCCCAGCCCAAGGGAGGTAAGGCACCCGCCGGAAAAGGGGAAAAAATGGCGGACAGCCTTGCTTGGCGACCCCCGTGAAATGGTCGATCGACCCCAAATGGGGTCCCGACCCACAGGTTGAGAACCACTGGTCTAAGCAACTCCCATTCTAAATAACGAGCATGAACTTAAAAAGAATATAGTAAATGGGCAGATTTGACCAATTTCCCTTTTATTAAACCAATTATCCACTAACCGAAAACAAACAGTAAGACGTGGCTGTTTTAATGCACTGGTCCCTTTGGGGATGCCTAAACTGAAGCATGTGAGCAGGTGTTTAAGACAGTTATGTCCTGTGGATCAGAATTGCTAGTGATATTAATCTTTCCAGAGTAAAGAGGGAGACTAAAAGTGTATCGTTACAGTGTAACGTGTAAAGTGTAACATGTACAGTGTAACGTGTAAAAGTGTATCGTGACTTGTAACAGGAATTGGGACAGGAATTTCTATCACTTAGTTTAAAATGCTTCAAGGCGGTCCCTTTTATTAATTTTATAAATAAACTCATATCCCAACACTCCTGCCTCCCATTTCCCCTACAACAACAAGCCTGTGAGGCTAGTTAGGCTGAGAGTGACTGGCCCAAAGTCATCCAGATGACTTTCACGCCCAAGGTGGGGATTAGGGCTCACAGTCTCCGGTCTTCTAGCCTGGTGCCTTAATCAGTAGGCCAGGGGTAGGCAACCTTGGCTCTTTTATGACCCGTGGACTTCAACTCCCAGAATTCCTGAGCCAGCATGGCTTAGCTTGGAAAGCTCTCTCTTTCCCCTCAACATGGCTAGCTCAGGAATTCTGGGAGTTGAAGTCCATGAGTCATAAAAGAGCCAAGGTTGCCTACCCCTGCACTAGACCAAACTGGCTTTTTAACCTCTTCCTGGTTAGAAAACATCTCATTTCCCCTTTCGCTTTGAAAGTAGATGGTTTTCTTTTCCTGCCAAGAACTTACCAGTTCGAACCGAGATTTTTTGTGCTATCATTCTTCCTCCAATCACTGCTAAGCCAGTACACAAACTATGACCAACTGTTCCACCCACCGCCACACCGTAGGGGTTCTGTGGGGAAAAAAAAAACCAGATAAAGTTTCGGTGCTATTTGAAAAGCCACAGATTTTTTTACTGCAGCTGCTTACAAAGGGTCCGTTGATACTTTCAAAGGCCGCAAACGGATAAAAAAAACACACAGAGAATGCTGTCAGCCACGTCCAGCCTCAGTTAACGACCAGAGAGAATCCGCTAGAGTGTCATTCCTGGGATAACCGAAAGTACCACAATCCCTTTAAAAAATGAGAAAACTAGAAACAAAAAAATGCTACTCAATTTAAATGCTCACCTCAGCACTAATATAACTTAACCCAGGGGTGTCAAACTGCCGGCCCACGGGCCGGACGCGTCATCCGGAAGCCACGCCCACCCCATTGCCGGCAATGGCAAAAACCGTCCCGGTACGTTGCGCGATGTCATGTGAGATCGCAAGTTTGACATGTCTGACTTAACCAATTGGACAGAATAAAAGTGCAATGAATTAAAAATGTGTGAATGTTTATTTATTTATTTATTTATTATTTATTATTTAAATTTATATACCACCCTATCTCCCTTACGGGACTCAGGGCGGTGAACAGGCGATAATAAAAATCACAATAAATATTAAATAAAAAGCCTGCTCTAAAATACCCCATATAAACCAAAAAAGTCAATTAATTATATAGCAGGACATGTACTTCCAGATCTTCAGAGGGTACTATGTAAATGGAACTATAGTTGCTTCTAGGCCTGACTCATCACCGTGCTTGTGCATGGCAACTTCCATGGAAGCAACAATTTGACATACATAATATTAAATCAAAACCACATGGGTCTCTAAAGCAGTCTCATGACTGCAGGTCCCATCGCTTCTCTGCCCAGACATAAGCAAGAGAACAGATACACAGATACACCAACTCTACTGAGTGCATTCCATGGAGCATGCCTTTTAAAATGGACAGATCCCAAGGGAAAATGATTTGTTATCCTGCGCAAGGCTCAAATATCAATCTATCTCTCCTTCACGGATTACTGCCTTGTCGTGGCGAAGGGGCTTGCGTAACTCAATGAAGCTATGAGCTATGCCGTGCAGGGCCACCCAAGACGGACAGGTCATAGCAGAGAGTTCTGACAAAATGTGATCCACTGGAGAAGGAAATGGCAACCCACTCCAGTATCTTTGCCATGAAAACCCCATGGACAGTACCAAAAGGTGGCTGGGTGGAGTCACTGAAGCAGTAGGTCTGAGCTTAAATGGACTCCAGAAGATGGTAGAAGACAGGAAGACCTGGAGGAACGTTGTCCATGGGATCGCAATGGGTCGGGACACGACTTCGCAACTAACAACAACAAATCAATCTATCTATAACTAATTCGTTCCTGAGCCTTTTGTTCTGTGACTTCTGATCACGCACATTTCTTATACAATTGTCTCACCTCTCTTGCTGCCAGAACAATGGTGGTCAACTGGGAGCGGTCACCCCATTCAGCTAGGAATGTTAAAGTGAATGCTTGCACAAAAATTGGAGAAATAAAATGCAGACATTTCCTCTGAGGTATTACAGGGCCCGTACCCGCTTCCATATCTCCGGGCCCATTTAAGAGTTTCATTCTCTGGAGCTAGGAAAAGAAGCAGCTGTTAGAAAACTCGGGGAACTACAGTCAGATCCCAAGATTGAACACCAGCGATACACAGCAATGGTCAGACTTACAATGTAAATCTACAAAATGTACCAATGTAAATTGGTACAAACTGCCAATTAAATAATTAATACTTCATCGCAAGAGTGATTAATGCAGGAATCAGACAGTTGCTGTAACTAATCTAGGTTTATAAAATTACATTCTGAAATTTTTGCTGGCTATAAAGATTTCTCCCTTTACAATCAATCCTCGGTTGGAAACAGAATATTCAAAGAATATAAAGGAATGGGTAATCTGATTTTACAGTGGAATGGCAATTCTAGTCTACAATTCTGATTTCAGAAATGATCACAAATGGAAACAATTCTGACACTGAGCTGTTACAACATTATACTAATAATATATCATATCAAATCTTATGGTCACAGATTGGCATATATTGACAATAAAAATGCTAACAAAAATGTCCAGAAATGGATGTCTTAATAAGACTGATCCACTGCTAATTTTGGACATCCCATCCAGGTAATCCTATGAGGAAGAATATGTGGGTCTGCTGAAATTACCTAACCACAGGATCCAATAACTGCTGGCACTGGTCTAGAAACCTAGGGTGCTTGGAGTTGTAACTCAGTGGTATCTGCTAATTCATTTCCCATCCTTGATTTAGTGATCCTATGGAGCAATTTGGATTCAAGGGAGAAAAAGTGATTCCAAATGTGCAAGGAAAAAAGAATTTCATATGTTGGTAGGGATCTGTTTCTTTTTCTGGACCAACATGGCACAATACACATTTGATTTTAAGGAAGTAGTAGTGATTGGTGCCCTTTGAAACATCTTTCCTTCTTCAGTCTGGATCAGGGGTAGGCAACCTTGGCTCATTTATGACTCGTGGACTTCAACTCCCAGAATTCCTGAGCCGGCTCAGCTGGCTCAGGAATTCTGGGAGTTGAAGTCCACGAGTCATAAAAGAGCCAAGGTTGCCTATCCCTGCTCTGGATCTTTGCACAGCCTTAATATCATTAAGTATTAAACAGGTACTTGTTAAGAAGATCATTTAAGAAGTACTAACGAAATAACAGCCTAATACTTTCTAACCAAGCGTGCTGCCTGGGGAATTCTGGGAGTTGAAGTCCACACACCTTAAAATTGCCAAAGTTGAGAAACACTGTTATAAATGTTCACTTACTTCTTCATCTTTCTTTTTGAGTTCTGCTTGTACTTCCTCTAATTCTTCCTGACCTTCATCTGCGCTCATCTTCAAGCCTTCTCGAAGCATTCGGATACCAAAAATTGCAAAGAGTGCTGTTGACACATAGTAGGTATATATTCTGGGAATTACGGTGGTAGCATACCCAAATAAAACTAAAAACAGAAAAGCAAATAGTTTAGGTTTTCCAGGAAGCAGACTTGGTTTATTTCTACTGTCTAAGCAATGTTTTAAATTCAGGAAGTCCTTATATATTAATTATAATTAATTAATTATATATTAATTAATCCCTTGGAATTAATGTACATTGATATATTATTATATACAATATTATGTCCCAAATTATGCAGTAATATAACATTAATACACAATATTATTTCCCACATTTCTACCTAGCTGAAATCCAGATAAATTTTTCCAAAATCCAGATAAATTTTTCCAAGAAAAAGTCAGTTTATAAAAATTAACTGACATAAAATTATAAAAACTTTGGCTCTTTATAATAGTCAAAATATTCCTACACGATATTTTGCAGTAATCCTAATTTACAATAACTCTATGAATAGGCCATAGAGAGGGTAGGTTTTTTGTTGCGTAAAATTTTTAGATTGCTCAAATGATACAGACTTTAGGTGACGTACAAAGTAAAAAGAAAAAAAAATAAAGCTAATCTAAAAAAACAAAAGCCAAATAGCTACTCAAAATCTTCAAGATTTTGTTGCTAAAAAGTGTGGTCTCTAATGATTTCCTATTGTCAGAAGGGCTCCCCTAAAGAAATGCAAAATATTTCAAATTTTAAAAAAAAGTGCATCATGTCAGAATGGCACTGGGCCACTTCTGATAAAATGAAACAACCTAGTTTAAACTGGACATCTTCACAACTGAAATGTTTCACATATCCCTATTCTCTCCCACATACATATATTACATTTTCACTTTCAGACCAGGACACAGAAGACAAAGCACTAACCAGAGAGACACGTCATCAGCCCTAAGGCCAACATTGCACCAGCCAACACTGTTAAGCGATTGTAACGCATTGCCATAATAGCAGCAATGAAGAAGGTTTTATCGCCCAATTCTGAAACAATGATGACAGAAATTGCAGCCACAAATGCATGGATAAATCCCAGGTTAGTTTTATCTGAAGAATCTCCACTCATAGAATGGACGGGAACAACAAGGGTAGGTCCTTTCTGAAAAGAAAAATAAACACGTTCTTCATTCCAAGTTTTAGTTTTAAGGAAACCAGTTCCTTATCATGCCAACACAGAAGAAAAAATGCAATCCACTGGATAGTGTCTAAAAGGGCCCTACAAATTCTTTACTTACCGTACTTTACATATTTCTGTGTAAGCCAAGAAGTTTTAAGTGCCAAAATAAACTCCCCAGTTCAGCTTATATGGGGATGGACTCATCTGAGAGTATATAGTATACAATACTTCCTTAAAAGTACCCATATTTTCTGTATACACTCATTTATAAATACATCCGTAGATCAGCAGAATGTCAAAAGACCATATGGGAAAGCTTTTATTTTATTTTATGTTATTTTATTTTTTATGTTATGTTATTATTTACTGGATTTATATGCCACCCATCTCATCCTGGAGACAACTTTGGACAGCTTATAAACATTACAACCAAAAACACTAAAAAGACAAGGCTGTAATAATCACAGTTAAAATTTAGATAAAAAAATATAATTTATTACTAAACGATTAAAAGGGGGGAGAAAGTACGAAGACCACAGGGGGAGGTAGGGTCGTCTCTTAATTTACTAACCACATCAGAGTGATACCCCCCCCTGTTGGCACCCCAGGCCTGCTGGCAAAGTCAGGTCTTCAGGCCCTTAAGGGCAGTCAGGAGGGTCAATGCGGATCCCACCTCGGAGGGTCTGTTCCAAAGGGCAGGGGCCATGGCGGAGAAGGGTCTTCTCCTGGAGCCTGCCTGCCAGAATTCCTCAGCTGAACGGGTCCTTAGCATGCCTGCTCTACCAGCACAGGTGGGATCGGCCAATCCCAATGAGGTGAGATGGTTCCTCCAGGCCAGTGGTTCTCAACCTGTGGGTCGGGACCCCATTTGGGGTCGATCGACCATTTCATGGGGGTCGCCAAGCAAGGCTGTCCACCATTTTTTTTGTCCGCCATTTTTTCCCCCTTTTCCGGCGGGTGCCTTACCTCCCTTGGGCTGGGCCAGCTGGTGGTCGGCCTGCTCCGTCTCTGCCGCTTGCCAGCTACGCCTCAGCCGGCGCAGGGGGCGGAACCACGCATGCGCGGCGCTCCCGGGCAGGGAAAGTCCTCGACTTACGACCGGTTTAGTCCTCGACTTACGACCGGTTTAGTCCTCGACTTACGACCGGTTTAGTCCTCGACTTACGACCGGTTGGGGTCGCGGCATTAAAAAGGTTGAGAACCACTGCTCCAGGCCATACGGGGCTTTGAAAGTAATAACCAACACCTCAAATTGCACCCAGAAGCAAAACAGCAGCCAATATGGAAATATGGGGAGCCCAAGGACTGCCCACATTTGCTACTTTCTGCACCCATTGTAGCTTCCAAATACACTTTAAGGGTAGCCCCAGGTAAAGTACACATCTACAGGTGGCACGTTTTTTCATGGTACTTTTGTTAAAAATTTTGAGGGTCACTTTATCCGTGGATGCGCTCATAGGCAAGTATATACGGTATCTGAGTAATGACTACCTTTAAATTTAGAAAGTTTATTATAAGCCTCCAGTTGGTATCAACTCTTAGAAACCGCAAACTTAAGAGTTCTTCTTACAATGTTCTTTTGTATTTAAGACTTCTCCAAGCACAAACCTGTGAGCTGCTCAAAGTCACCGAGAGTCAGGCAGCATACAAATTTAATACAATATAAAATGATCATCTCATGATCACATATTCTCCTTCGTATTTAAGATAAACTGTTTCATCAAGGTTTTTATTTATCCCTGCTGAAACAAAAATATGCAAATGATTTGAACTTTAGATGTTGACTCACTGGCATTCTGTTTTTCATTTTATTGTTATGGCACTTTGCCCATAGCTGTCGTTTACCTGCATTTCTTCAACAATAAATTATAGTCACTCCAACAATTTTCTACTTAACTTTAATTCACCATATTAACTATATACCTTATTTAGAAGGTATATTCGAAGGAATTAACCATATGTAGACAAAAAAAAAAATACAGAAAGCAAATACAATAGTTATTTTCAGGTTTTTGAGTATATGTCAGACAGAATTTCCTCAAAATGTATTGTTTCAAAATACAGGACTTAATCAAGAAACAAAATTCCTAGCAGTAAGAGTAGTTCATCGGTGGAACTATATGTCAAGATTGACTTTAATTTCAGTATTATACTGACCAGGACTTATATGCCTTAAATGGCCATTTCCCGCTGTTATAATATTATGATCAGCTAGCAGTGTTTCTCAACCTTGACAATTTTAAGGCATGTGGACTTCAACTCCCAGAATTCCACAGCCAGCAATGCTGGCTGTGGAATTCTGGGAGTTGAAGTCCACATGCCTTAAAATTGTCAAGGTTGAGAAACACTGAGCTAGACAATACTTGATTTGTGACAATACAATATTAACATCCGTAACAAACAACATTAGTTTTTACAAATGCATAAAAGATCAAATATAAAATTTCACAAATGAATAAAATGACAGTAAAGGTTTAAAAAAACAGTTTGGTAAAATAAACTTGTTTAAATAAAGAGAACTAAGCAAGTGGCATTCGATGCATCTCCTTAAAGAAGCTTCACAATCAAATCCCACAATCAAAACCACATTTTTCCAGATACTGCTTCAAAAAGAGCAATGGCAGACTGGACCATTCTATTTCTAGAATATTATTCTAGAAATAGAATTCTAAGAATAGTAAAGTAGCTGCAAGTTCTACTTTTAGTAAGTGAAATAGGTTTTAGCAGTTGTACAATCTAAGTGTTTTTCTTTTATTAAAAACATATTGTGCTAGATCACAAAGAAAGCTAGTTCTTGTTGGTCTCAAATCTTTCCAACCAGGTGCTGTAGCAGTTCAGGAAGAAAGGCTGATTTTATCGCACAAATATATCCAACATGTTTCACCTTGTCTGCTCTTTGTCAGTAAAGGTGAAGATCTGGAGTATCATGAAATACTAGCTTGTAGATGAAAGTGCATGAAATTTCAATTCACATTTTATTTTTGAAGACAAAATTATCCTGGGACTATAAAATGAGTACTTTTTTGGGGGTCCATTATGGGGCAAAAATTTTTCCAACCAAGATATCTCAAATGGGCTAATTTACAGAATGTGTCTGGGACCCTTGGCTCCCATGGAACCGAAATTTGGCAAGTTTTATAGAACAGTTTATAAGGTAAGAATTATCATAAAGTATTTTATGACAAAACAAAATGTGATAAAATATTTCCTATGGTCAACTCTTGATGTTTGGGCTGTACAATTCTATTTGGCTACTTTTAAGGTGGATGGATCTCTGAATATGTCCCTCAATTTTTAAGAACTTTTCAACTACATTACAAGCTCTGCCACTGTTGAAATACCTCTGAAATGATAAGCCATAGGTTATCTAGTCAATATTAAAATTTAAATTGGTTATTTGTTTTTAAGCAATGGTAAATCTCAACTTATAATTTTATAGCAAGGATATATGAGGGTAGTCACTTTTTTATAGTTTAGAACTTCTCATGATATCTCTGATTAAAGAATGCATGAATGAACAGAAAGGTTTTCTGACTATGAATACAAAATTGGGTTCTACGAACTGCTGAACAATCAACACTATGTAGGCATTATGGCAAGTTGCTTAATTCAGCACAACTGAAATAATTAGAAAATTGATACATAACAGTAAATTTATAGTCTGTTTAGAAAAACGATTAGATATATGGGAGTTGAAGTCCACAAATCATAAAAGGGCCAAGTTTGAAGATCCCTGGGTTAAACTAATGGGCTGACATATTCATAAAATGACAAATTATTGTCATTTCACACTCAGAAACTATCATGCAGGTTCAGGACTTTCAACAGTAACTTGAAAAAAAAACCTTCTGTTGTAACACAATTTGAGCTGTCATTATCAAATTGCAACAATCAAATCAAATCACCAAAATATACGGTAGTTACTTTTCAAGACCTTGAAAAGGTCTTGCTGAAAGGTCACTATGATCTGTAATATGTGAACTAACTTGATTGTGCAATCTGGCAACATCACTATTTCCAAATCAACTTAATTAAAGTAATAGCGGTAAGTTACATAGTAGATAGTGTAACTGTTACCTAGCGAGACTGTATCACTTTTTTCCAATAGAAAAGGTGTAAAATAAATTTTAAGCAGTAATTTTAGGAAGATGTGAACCATAAATTACTAAATTACTAATACTACTGNTAAATAGAAACACAGCTTCTAATATTCGGTTTTTTAATCTGGTTTTATAGGGGTTTGTAGTTTTATGTTTTGTATTTGTACTGTTTTTAATACGCTGTGCACCGCCCTGAGTCCTGCGGGAGAAGGGCGGTATATAAATTAAATTATAATAATAATAATAATAATAATAATAATAATAATAATAATAATAATAATAATATAAACTGTTTCATCAAGGTTTTTATTTATCCCTGCTGAAACAAAAATATGCAAATGATCTGAACTTTAGATGACTCACTGGCATTCTGTTTTTCATTTTATTGTTATGGCACTTTGCCCATAGCTGTCATTTACCTGCATTTCTTCAACAATAAATTATAGTCACTCCAACAATTTTCTACTTAACTTTAATTCACCATATTAACTATATACCTTATTTAGAAGGTATATTCGAAGGAATTAACCATATGTAGACAAAAAAAAAAATACAGAAAGCAAATACAATAGTTATTTTCAGGTTTTTGAGTATATGTCAGACAGAATTTCCTCAAAATGTATTGTTTCAAAATACAGGACTTAATCAAGAAACAAAATTCCTAGCAGTAAGAGTAGTTCATCGGTGGAACTATATGTCAAGATTGACTTTAATTTCAGTATTATACTGACCAGGACTTATATGCCTTAAATGGCCATTTCCAGCTGTTATAATATTATGATCAGCTAGCAGTGTTTCTCAACCTTGACAATTTTAAGGCATGTGGACTTCAGCTCCCAGAATTCCACAGCCAGCATTGCTGGCTGTGGAATTCTGGGAGTTGAAGTCCACATGCCTTAAAATTGTCAAGGTTGAGAAACACTGAGCTAGACAATACTTGATTTGTGACAATACAATATTAACATCCATAACAAACAACATTAGTTTTTACAAATGCATAAAAGATCAAATATAAAATTTCACAAATGAATAAAACGACAGTAAAGGTTTAAAAAAACAGTTTGGTAAAATAAACTTGTTTAAATAAAGAGAAGTAATCAAGTGGCATTCGATGCATCTCCTTAAAGAAGCTTCACAATCAAATCCCACAATCAAAACCACATTTTTCCAGATACTGCTTCAAAAAGAGCAATGGCAGACTGGACCATTCTATTTCTAGAATATTATTTTTGAATACTATTCTAGAAATAGAATTCTAAGAATAGTAAAGTAGCTGCAAGTTCTACTTTTAGTAAGTGAAATAGGTTTTAGCAGTTGTACAATCTAAGTGTTTTTCTTTTATTAAAAACATATTGTGCTAGATCACAAAGAAAGCTAGTTCTTGTTGGTCTCAAATCTTTCCAACCAGGCGCTGTAGCAGTTCAGGAAGAAAGGCTGATTTTATCGCACAAATATATCCAACATGTTTCACCTTGTCTGCTCTTTGTCAGTAAAGGTGAAGATCTGGAGTATCATGAAATACTAGCTTGTAGGTAAAAGTGCATGAAATTTCAATTCACATTTTATTTTTGAAGACAAAATTATCCTGGGACTATAAAATGAGTACTTTTTTGGGGGTCCATTATGGGGCAAAATTTTTTCCAACCAAGATATCTCAAATGGGCTAATTTACAGAATGTGTCTGGGACTCTTGGCTCCCATGGAACTGAAATTTGGCAAGTTTATAGAACAGTTTATAAGGTAAGAATTATCATAAAGTATTTTATGACAAAACAAAATGTGATAAAATATTTCCTATGGTCAACTCTTGATGTTTGTGCTGTACAATTCTATTTGGCTACTTTTAAGGTGGATGCATCTCTGAATATGTCCCTCAATTTTTAAGAACTTTTCAACTACATTACAAGCTCTGCCATTGTTGAAGGCATCTGGTAAGGAAATACCTTTGAAATGATAAGTCAAGGGGTCATAGGTTATCTAGTCAATATTAAAATTTAAACTGGTTATTTTTGTTTAAACAATGGTAAATCTCAACTTATAATTTATAGCAAGGATATATGAGGGTAGTCACTTTTTTATAGTTTGGAACTTCTCATGATATCTCTGATTAAAGAATGCATGAATGAACAGAAAGGTTTTCTGACTATGAATACAAAATTGGGTTCTAAGAACTGCTGAACAATCAACACTATGTAGGCATTATGGCAAGTTGCTTAATTCAGCACAACTGAAATAATTAGAAAATTGATACATAACAGTAAATTTATAGTCTGTTTAGAAAAACGATTAGATATATGGGAGTTGAAGTCCACAAATCATAAAAGGGCCAAGTTTGAAGATCCCTGGGTTAAACTAATGGGCTGGCATATTCATAAAATGACAAATTATTGTCATTTCACACTCAGAAACTATCATGCAGGTTCAGGACTTTCAACAGTAACTTGAAAAAAAAACCTTCTGTTGTAACACAATTTGAGCTGTCATTATCAAATTGCAACAATCAAATCAAATCACCAAAATATACGGTAGTTACTTTTCAAGACCTTGAAAAGGTCTTGCTGAAAGGTCACTATGATCTGTAATATGTGAGCTAATTTGATTGTGCAATCTGGCAACATCACTATTTCCAAATCAACTTAATTAAAGTAATAGCGGTAAGTTACATAGTAGATAGTGTAACTGTTACCTAGCGAGACTGTATCACTTTTTTCCAATAGAAAAGGTGTAAAATAAATTTTAAGCAGTAATTTTAGGAAGATGTGAACCATAAATTACTAAATTACTAATACTACTGTTGTCTGCAGCTCTCCAATAGGACATTGGTCAGATGAGTATATAAAACGAGCTAAGCATGTAGCATGTGGCTAACAAAGTGAGCTTACAGCTCAGGAAAACTGAGGCTTTTTAATAAAATGCTGTTGGTTGGATACACTACCAGATTTCTGATTTTTTCCCCTTTCCAAGATCCAACAGGACTCTCTTCTTTGCAATGTCTACGATTTCTATGAGGTGAGACATTAATGAAATGTGGCCATTACAGTTACTCGACTTATGACAAACTGAGCCCAACATTTCTGTTGCTAAGTGAGACATTTGTTAAGGGAGTTTTGCCCCATTTAACAACCTTTCTTGCCACAGTTGTTAATCACTGCAGTTGCTAAGTTACTAAAACGAGCCTGGCTTCCTCATTAAGGAAGGTCACAAAAGGGGATCAATGATCCTGAGCCGCTGCAACCGTCACAAATATGAGTCCGTTGCCAAGCATCCGAATGTTGATCATGTGACCGTGGGGATGCTGCAACGGTTGTGTGAAAAACAATCACGTCGTTTTCAGTGACGCTGCTGTAACTTCGAACGGTCACCAAACAAACCGTTGTAAGTCAAGGACTACCTGTGCAACCAAAGGGAAAAGAGAACTGGGCAGAGTAACTTGTGGAGCAGAAACAAGCATATACAGGTAGTCCTTGACTTACCATATGGCCATTTTTCACACTTACGAGCATTGCAGCATCCCCATATGGCAGTGTTTCTCAACCTTGACAATTTTAAGGCATGTGGACTTCAACTCCCAGAATTCCACAGCCAGCATTGCTGGCTGTGGAATTCTGGGAGTTGAAGTCCACATGCCTTAAAATTGTCAAGGTTGAGAAACACTGCCATATGGGGTCACGTGATTTACAGATGCTTGACAGCTGACTCACATTTATGACGGTTGCAGTGTCCTTGACTTACCATATGGCCATTTTTCACACTTAGGAGCATTGTAGCACCCCCAGGGTCATGTGATTTACAAATGCTTGACAGCTGGTTCACATTTATGACGGTTGCAGTTGTCCCGGGGTTCATGTGATCCCCCTTTTGCGACCTTCTGACAAGCAAAGTCAATGGGGAAAACCAGGTTGACTTAACAACCGTTGTCACCAATTTAACAACTGCAGGGATTCGCTTAAGAACTATGGCGAGAAAAGTCGCAAAATGGGACAAAGCTCACTTAAGAAGTGTCTCGCTTAGCCACATAGGTTTTGGGGTTCAGTTGTGATCGTAAGCCGAGGACTACATATGTACACGTATATATGTGCATGAATCGAATCTGTCTAATCCAGGGGTAGGCAACCTTGGCTCTTTTATGACTCGTGGACTTCAACTCCCAGAATTCCTGAGCCAGCATGGCTCAGCATGGAAACCTCTCCCTTTCCCCTCAGCATGGCTGGCTCAAGGAATTCTGTTTTATTTTTGTTTCTTCCCTTTAGTTATATATTTCATTCCAAGTCTTTATTAGTTCATATATTTGCGTTTATTGTGCTTCATTTAATTAATTCCTTGACACAGCCTAGAAGGCAATCAACACACTGTTGGGTGCTGATTTTATCCATGGTCACAGTGTGTGGCTCCCTAGAAGCACTTTGCACATTCATAAGAAACAGTGACTAAAGGACCTTTGTTTATTAGAACTCTTAAGAGAATTTGGTTCTGTGGAGGTTTCACTAGAGCAGGGGTAGGCAACCTTGGCTCTTTTATGACTCGTGGACTTCAACTCCCAGAATTCCTGAGCCAGCCACGCTGAGGAGAAAAGGAGAGGTTTCCAAGCTGAGCCATGCTGGCTCAGGGATTCTGGGAGTTGAAGTCCACGAGTCGTAAAAGAGCCCAAGGTTGCCTACCCCTGATCTAGGCCTAGGTCGCTTTATGACTCGTGGACTTCAACTCCCAGAATTCCTGAGCCAGCATGGCTCAGCATGGAAACCTCTCCCTTTCCCCTCAGCATGGCTGGCTCAGGAATTCTGGGAGTTGAAGTCCACGAGTCATAAAAAGGGCCAAGTTTGAAGACCCCTGATTTAACATCTCACTGAAGTACTTTTGAGTATTCTTCATATCCCAGCTTGGGCAGTATTCAGTATCAAAAGAGAATAATCTTGCACAATACGGATCAGGAAATTCTTCTCATCCTTCAGCTTGAGCTCCACTCTGGATTAAATGACCTGGCAGAAGGAGAATAGCAGCATCGATTCCTGAGCCACTGTCCAACTTCCTTTTCTATAGGGAAGCTCTGGGGCAGGAGTAGGCAACCTTGGCTCTTTTATGACTTGTGGACTTCAACTCCCAGAATTCCTGAGCCAGCCACGCTGAGGGGAAAGGGAGAGGTTTCCATGCTGAGCCATGCTGGCTCAGGGATTCTGGGAGTTGAAGTCCACGAGTCATAAAGCGACCTAGGCCTAGACCAGGGGTAGGCAACCTTGGCTCTTTTATGACTCGTGGACTTCAACTCCCAGAATTCCTGAGCCAGCATGGCTCAGCTTGGAAACCTCTCCATTTTCCCTCAGCCTGGCTGGCTCAGGAATTCTGGGAGTTGAAGTCCACAAGTCATAAAAGAGCCAAGGTTGCCTACCCCTGACTCTAATCCCAAAAGGCTTCTCCCATCACACCTTTCACCGCCGCCCGGCCACGTTGTGCCCCGCGGCGGAGACTTGGCGGCGAGGAAGGGCCGTCAAGGAGGAGAAGCGACGGAGCAGCCGGGCCTTCCGTCCCGACGCCGGCCGAAGCTTTCTCCTCCCCCCCCCCCGGGCCTTCGGGGGCGATAGTAGCCTATCAAACTGCCCCCCCCGGGCGTCGCCCCCGCTTCTCCCGCTCCCTCAGCTCACCTCAACCCGGGGCGGCTCCGGCCCTTGCAGCCCGGGCTGCTGGTGCGGCGGCGGCGGCGGCTTCTGCTGCTCCTGGTGAGGTGGGAAGTCTCGCTCGCGGCCGCCTTCTTGCTCGGGGGCAGCGAAAGCCGCGGCCAGCAGCAGCAGCCAGAGCAGCGGCCACAGCCGCGGGACCGCCGCCATTCCCGTCCCTGAGACCGGGCCGTTTTCTCTCACTGTCGGGAAGAGCGGCCGCTACAGGCGGAAGTGAGTGGCCGCTGCCCCGCCGCCATGGCCGCTTCCTCCGGGGCGATCGTGCAACCAAACCCCAGCCCCTCCTCTCGTCGTTCCGTCGTGCAGGCGAAGCGATGGCGACGTCCCGCCCCCTACCCCCTGATTCCCTTGACTGATTGGGGAATTCCCCGCTCGCTCAAAGATTTGCGTCAGAGACTATCAACCAGCACGTTCGGTTGTCCCGTCCTCGAAGAGGAGGGATGGGCGAGCCAGGCCCTCGCCTGCGTCACGTGATGCTATTCTGGCAGGACGAAGCCCCTCCCACTTGTAGTTTTCTGGCAGGGAAGAGAGAAAAACTGGAAAGTTATGGGATTTGCAATAATCCGGAAAGACAACTAATGCATGAATCTGGAAATACAACTAATGCCCAAAACTATAGTCCTTGTGGTTAATCTCTCAGATTAGCGCATCCTCCTTCAGGTAGACCTCAACTGCTGATTTATAGGGCAGCTCCTGGCAACAATGCAAAAGTTGTTTGCTTTTGTCCGTTTCTAAGTTTTGTTCCTCGTTACAGCAGCCCAACCAAATAAATCGGCAACCGAAGTCAAATAATGTTGGGTTTAGTTCTTTCCAAATCATTCATCTAGCTTTAATAATTTAATATTAATGCAGAAGTGCAGGCTGTCAGTATTTGCAGCAGGCGTACTTAATTAACTTTTCAAACTTTTTAACAATTAAAGAAATGGAATCTTTAACAATTAAAGAAATGGAATTGTAATTGGTACAGTTTGAAAAGCCTGAAGCTTTTTGAAATACTGATGTAAGAAATGCAATCAGTCTGAGTAGTTTTGGTAAATGTTTTAAGAGTCAAGCAAACTTAAAGCTCTTGAGTTAAGGGAGTGTGCTCACTTGCATATTTGAATTACCCTCCAGGTCATACTGAGAAGTATGCAGATTGAGGAAGAACCTGCTTTGCTAACAGTTTTAGCAAATGCGAAACAGTTATGATTAGACAATACAGGTGAAAGGAAGAGATTATTAATCAGAAATTTCTAATGAATCTAAACCAGGGCTTTTCAACCAGTGGTATGGGTACTACCTGTGGTACATTGGCACCTGGCAGGTGGTACACGACCATCCTAGAAAAGTGGTAGCGGGGAGGGGAATGAGCTGAACCTGTGGCAGCACTGCACAAGCCTGAGCGAGAGATGGCTGGAGCTGCAGGGCTGTCAGGGCTCAGTGGAAGTGCCAGGATCAGTGCCAATTTTCAGCTGATTGGCGCTTCGGGGCTGTCAGGGCTCAGTGGAAGCGCCAGGATCCAGCTGGAGCTCGGTGCTGATCCTGGTGCTTCTGCTGAGCCCAGAAGAAGCGCCGATCAGCTGGAATGTTGCAGCATCTCCAGGATCTTATGATTTACATTCAGATGCTTGGCAACTGATTCATATTTATGATGGTCACAGTGTCCCAGGGTCATGTGAAGTGACCAAAACCTGCTGCAACCACCCAGCAGATGGGGGGAATAAAAACCAAACACCCCTCACCCCCGTTGCTCACAACAATGAAAACCTCGGACAGGAGGAAGAGCGCCACTGGGTGGGCAGGCAGGTGTCTTGCTCGGCTGTGGCTTGGGGGGCACTTTTTTCAGTGCCATTGCAACTTCGAACAGTCACTAAGCGAACTGTTGTAAGTCGAGGACTACCTGTACTTTATCACTTTTTTCCTTTTTTTTTTTTGGTCATCAAGTTTTTGACAGCTTGCTAGGCGACTGGTGGTACTCAGATGTTGCCATATCTTAAAAGTGGTACAATGTGTGAAAAGGTTGAAAAGCCCTGATCTAAACATCTGTAGGAGAAGCCACCCAAAAGTCATAAACTCAAACAAGTTAACTATATACAAATATGAAAAGCAGAAGTTGCTAGCTAACTGAAACCGCAAGTAAACACAAAAACTGAGGATAAAGCTTAAGAGCTTAAGGTAGCAAAGGTATAACCGCAAACAAATATAGAGATAATTATAAGAATTGAGCTTTGTTAATAGAAAATTAGATGGTGATAGATAGGATGTGCACAAAGGGGCTTCCTGGAACATAGGAGGGACAGTGGTTTTAGGGGGAGGTCCAAGTTAGTTTATCGGATGATTAGGGAAGGGGGGAATCTGCATGGGGGTAGGATATAAAAATGTGTCAAACAGCTCTTTAAGGTGTGGCTGGACTCCTATGTGTATTTCAGCTCACCAAGCCTTTGCAAATGCTTCTTTTTAAGTAAAACTTTGTTGCTGGAATTCCAAGTGAGTTTGTTTTGGGATCTTGAGCCACGCTCCAGACACAGGTAATCCTTGATTTATGACAACTGAGCCAAAATTTATGTTGCTTAAGCAAAGACATTTGTTATGGTAATTTTGCCCCATTTTACAATCTTTCTTGTCACAATTGCTGAGTGAATCACTGCAGTTGTTAAATTAGTAACACGGTTGTTAAGTGAATCCGGCTTCCCCATTGACGTTGCTTGTCAGATGATTGTTAAAGATGATCACATAACCTCAGGACACTGCAACGGTCAAAAATATGAATCAGTTGCACCTTCAGATAGTATTCAACTCCTGACCTATACTATAGGTGACTGATAAAACCAACAGCCTTGTCATTCTGAATGCAGGTGCAATGATTCTGCCCAAATTCAGCAAATTCTTGCAGAGCATGTTAAGAGATCTACTATTTATCATATTTAGAGACCACCCTCTAATAGCTTTTGATTTCATGGGTGTAGCTGATGGGAAGCTGTCTCACATCCAAGTCTCTTTTCTTTTACAAGGTCAAACTTCTCACATCACTTGATGAGAAGACAGTTGACCTTAACAGAAGTGATATGATAACACTGAACATGTATTTAGCTTGGAGACAAACCTTTGTGTGAGTTTTGGAATGGATATCTGCACATTGCAATACAAACCAGGTTGAGGCAGATAGTTAAAATCTCTCCATATATCTCTACTTACCATACTGATCTTTGCCAAACAATTTAACAGAAACTGTCATTTTATTTTGCTGGAGTTCTATTGGCCACATCCAGAAGGTTGCCAGTGCTAAAACTGCCTTAAGCCCCAGAATATGCTTAGAAGTCAAATACAGCTCCTATTATTGATAGCACTAATTAGAAAAAAATAGTGTAGCAAAGCCTCCTGCAAAGTTTTACTCCAGGCACCAAACTAGATACAGGTAGTCCTTGACTTACAAAAGTTCATTTAGTGACCGTTCAAAGTTACAATGGCACTGAAAAAAGTGACTTATGACCAATTTTCACAATTACAACCATTGCAGCATTCCCATGATCATGTGATCATCTTTTGTGACTTCTGACAAGCAAAGTAAATGGGGAAGCCAAATTCATTTAACAGCTGTGTTGTTGTTGTTGTTAGTTGCGAAGTTGTGTCCAACCCTTTGCGACTCCATGGACAACGTTCCTCCAGGTCTTCCTGTCCTCTACCATCTCCTGGAGTCCATTTAAGCTCACACCTACTGCTTCAGTGACTCCATCCAGCCACCTCATTCTCTGTCGTCCCCTTCTTTTATTGCCCTCGATCTTTCCCAGCATCAGGCTCTTCTCCAGTGAGTCCTTCCTTCTCATTAGGTGGCCAAAGTACGTGAGTTTCAACTTCAGGATCTGGCCTTCTAAAGAGCAGTGAGGGTTGATCTCCTCTAGGACTGACCGGTTTGAATGCCTTGCAGTCCAGGGGACTCGCAGGAGTCTTCTCCAGCACCATAGTTCAAAGGCCTCAATTCTTTGGCGCTCAGCCTTTCTTATGGTCCAACTTTTACAGCCATACATTGCAACTGGGAAAACCATGGCCTTGACTATACGCACTTTTGTTGGCAGGGTGATGTCTCTGCTTTTTAGTATGCTGTCTAGATTTACCATAGCTTTCCTCCTCAGGAGCAAGCGTCTTCTAATTTCTTGGCTGCAGTCCCCATCTGTGGTGATCTTGGAGCTCAGGAACCTCCATTTCTTCCCCATCTATTTGCCAGCAAGAAAACTCGTAAAATGAGGCAAAACTCATTTAACTGTCTCACTTAGCAACAGAAATTTGGAGTTCAGTTGTGGTCATAAATCTGCAATAAAAAAATCACTGCTCTTCCTATAGCAACCCAAGTGGTCGTATATCTTAGCCTTATTTTAGCAAATGATAGCTGCAATAGTTATGAAATATCTTGCTGAAGGTTTAGCCTTCCTTCCTTCCTTCCGGGAGAGGGGCACAGATAATGAAATACACATTGTGCATATGCATTGTGCACAATGCTGTGACATAAACCACAGAACTGGCATACCTGTGTGTCATATGAAAGATCAGGATTTGTGTCATGACATCATAATAGGGATTTTGGAAATCATCAGACCATCCCAATCACCTAGCAGACAACTTCGTCTCCCAAAAAGTAGAGAAGGGAACTAGGGGATTAGCCATTTTGGATCTAATTGTCACTAACAGAGATGAAATGATAGAAGTTATGGAAGCCACAGGAACCTTGGGAGGAAGTGATCATGCAATAATGGAATTCAACATTATGGAAGCACAAGCAATAGAACACAGTCAAACTAGAGTCTTGGACTTGAGAGCTAATTTCAATAAACTTAGAGAGGGCTTGGGAAGGATTCCATGGATGAGAATCCTCAAGGGGGAAAAACTCAAGAAGCTTGGGAAATTTTGAAAAGTGAGATAATAAAAGCCCAGTCTAGTACAATACCAACAAAGAAGAAAAATAACAGTTCTCAAAAGAAACCAGCATGGCTCCATAAAGAACTCTCTGATAAATTGAAAGATAAAAAGGACAAGTATAGAAAGTGGAAAGAGGGACACATAACTAAGTCAGAATATTAGCAAATAGTCTGAGCCTGCAAAGATGAAGTGAGGAAAGCTAAGGCTCAAAATGAACTAAGGCTTGAGATCAAAGTCAAAAATAACAAAAAAAAAGCTTCTTTCAACATGTAAAAAACAAGAAAAAAGTGAAGGAAA